AAAAAAAAAAAAAATTGCGGCAACATTTTGCGTGCCCACGAGCTGTTTGCCGAAATGCGCCACTGGATGGCGGTCACGGGGAACGCCGTGATTTCTTGGTACTTGAAGGGCCACGATTTGTCCACTGCTCTTTCCCTAATTGTTGAGATGCTGAGAGAGCGTATTCCCATGAAGCCATTCGGGCTCTCTGTCGTGTTGGTGTAGCATGTGCGCAGCAAGAAGACCTTTGGCTTGGGGCGCAAGCGCATGGGCTGAGCTTGAAATGGGGCTTCGAGTCCAATGTTGTGGTGGGGATGCGGAGGGATGGAGGGTTGGAAAGAGATTTTTCATGAATTAGTCGATTAAAATGTGGTTGCTTAGACTTTATAAAAAGCAATGACTTTTGGCCAGGTAAATGTCCCGTTTGAGCCTTAAGGCGAACTTCATACATTCAGTATTACCCTACTAGGGTCGTTTTCTAGTGTCCTTGTGTTTATTGTGTTGCCGAGCATTACCCTGTTGGGGTCGGTTTCTAGGCGGTCTCTTGACCTGTCCTCCCTTTTTATTCAGCTGTTGGTTGTCTGTATTCAACCGTTGGCTGTTTGTATTTAGCTTGTAGCTATCTTTTTGCACATTTGTGAGCATTTATATAATATCTTTATCGTTTCAAACAAAAAAAAAAAAGATTCGCAACGGATTGGAGTCTTTGGGAGTTTGCTATTTGGTACTCATATACATGCAAGTTGGGCCTTTGGTTTGGTAAAGTATTATTATTTTTTTTTTTTTTGCTGTCATACCTATGGAGCCTTGACAATTGGTTGAAAGTCAGTTCTTGTAGAAATTGTGATGAGGTTTTGAACATTTGTCGTTGCAGTTTGTTTTTATTCCATCAATCATGCCAATTTGATGGAGCCTTGATTTACTTTTACATCATACTGAAAGTTGGTTGAGTTAGTGGAGCTGAATTTGGTCTTTTGTAAACACTTCAACTCTCACTTTTGTACAAATCTTTTTAGGAACATGAAACAAGATTGTCTGTATTTGTTGATTTTTTTTATGGTATTAAGATCTTCTCATCGCAAAATGAAAATTACATAATTGTTACGTAAAATGAAATGCAAGCCTTTCCGTGTAATTTTTTCCATAGGGGAGTGTCATATGTCAGTATATGTATTAAAGAGTGGCATTGTTGTTTTTGGAGTTGAATGAAACACTATTGCGGCTCTTTCTGTATCTGATAGTTTTTTAGTCGGTTTAATTGAAAACGATGTGTTTTTTACTGTTGTCTTTAGGCATACAGTTAAGATTCTTGTTGCATTTAGTGTTACTCCATACAAAACGCTAATCCAAATAAAAAATCTCGGTTGTTCAATATTCATGGAAGTGAGGTCTAATCCATTTACCCATGCCAGGATATCAGGCATGTAGCGAAATCTTTTCAATTCCTTTTTTGTAAATAACGTCCTTAATATAGGCTCTAAACTTGTATTTTATTTTTTCTGGATAAGATAAAGAAAAGGGGCATCAAAGGATCTCAACGTCCAACCATATTCTCCATCATATAAAAAAAATGCTATTTATGGGGAGTCCTGCATTTTTAACTTGTGGTTAAGCTAAAAATGGTTTTTGGATTATAATCCACAAAAGAAGCCGAAATTCAGGCCCCAAATATCGCAACAGATCCTTTATACATATATATTTTTCCATCCATAGCAATAAAATTTACAAAAGTTATCAAGTGAATTTTACTACAATGGCTCAACTTGAAAGGCCAAAAAGATCCACCAACACCCAGAAAATGCCTACAGCTCAAACTTCACCAGCTTTCGAGCAGATGCTAAGAGGTACTTTTTTATGTGCCATGAATTGATGGTGCTATGCTTTTTAAGAAAATCTGTTATGTGAGCCTTTAAGCATCTGTATGAAAATTGGGATTGTATTTGGATGACTGAATGAAAATAAAATCTAACATAACATAGATTTATTAGATATGTGAACATAAATTTGATGCCTAACTATGTCGTAAATATAGTATCATGTTCGTTTGTGTTTTGTTCAATCCTCATTGTATTAACGTGTATAACATGTAGAACGAGTAACACAATTTAATATTCATAAGCTGCACATCCTGTTACATTAGTTTAATTTCACCACACCCTGTTATATATTAATCAGTTTATAGTGTAGCGAAAATCGGTAGATTGATTTGAATGAAAGATGTGAATAATGATTGGAAGTAAATTATTACGATGCAAAATAGAGGTACTTCAGAATGCAAGATTTATATTCGAAAGCATGGTTCCCACTTTCATGCATAGTTGGAAAATAAGAAAAAGAAAAGGTGTTTGGTGATATAATTTGTAGTTAAATTCATACTCTTCCTCCCTCATTGACTCATTTTTATGAATAGTTAAAAAATGTCTTAAAATCTCCCTCTCTCTCTCTCTCAGTTGATGAGGCATGCTGGTCGCCAACCACATCTCCTACGTCAGGAATGAATCACACTCATCAAGAAGAAAGTTCGAGTCCCTCACAAAACAGAAAATCGGTTCTTGCAAAAGTAAAAGAGAGAGCTAAGAAGTTGAAGCACTCTCTCAGTGGCCGAAAGAACATCAATGAAAACGATTTGAATGACGAAAGTACGACCCCACATTCGGGACTCGCCTTAGACGATCATAATGATGATGACCCGACTGATGATCCTGAATATCTCGGAGCTCCAAGTAATTCACACATGCTCTTTCAAATTTCCAAATTTGATATATTTTATTAACATTTCTAAACTAGACAAAAAAAAAACTTGTGTCGTAAATTCATATCCATAATCATCTGGAAGAAAATATTCCGCCATTCGAAGAACAAAAAGGAAAAAAAATAGCTCTTTCTTTCATGTTTTGAGGTTCTAATATCACACTCTTGGCTTTTTTGTAGTTCTTCAATTTTCACCTCATTCCCTTTATTTATTTATTTTATTTTATTTTTGGCAAAATTTTCGTTAATATCATGACCTTTTTCGAATTTGCAATTTAATAACGACCCTTTCACTTTTTAAATTTATATCACAATCTTCAGTTCGTTGCAAATCGGTGCACAGTTTATGAAAACCAGCTCTACAAGCTGATGTGGTCGAAGAAGAAACTGAAGAAGATTGTGATATAGTTTGCATGAGTTCTGCAAATCGGTGCACCACCACCGGTTTGCTACAAACTAAAGATTGTGATATAAATTTACAAAAGTGGAAATATCGTGATTATATTGTAATTAAAAAAAAAAGTTCAGGGATCTCAGGGGTAATTTTGCCCCTTTTTTTAGTGTTTCCTATTTTCATCATGATTTTTAAAACATTCTTTCATTTTCATCGGATATATTTTAAAATCAAACGTCGCAGTGTATGAGTCAGAAGCCGCACCCGAAGGCTTAAAAGAGAATGCGAGACAACACCCACGGGCAGTGCCCGTGGTTTCCGAGAGCCATCGAACCCCAATAAGGACCAAACCATCTGAAACATCACTTAAAGAAAAAGAAAATGAGACGAACGTGACTGAAGCGGTTCCCCAAAAATCCGCACAACCTCACAATATCATCACTTCCAAGATTTCGGGACTTGTCGTCTCACGAGAGACTCCAAACCGTGAGACGGTAAGGATAAGTAACCGGGACAAGTCGGGAAAGCTCAGCCCGGTGAAAGAGTACTCAATGAACAAGGTGGAGCCCATGGAGGACGAGCGGGCCCTTTCGCAGGCTTTAGCTGAGGCCATTAGACCAAAGAAAATAAACAATAACACAAGCGTGGTGGGTAAAGTGAAAGAGGCTGTTAACTCATTTTTCTGGAATGAAGAGACGTCCAACTCGGTGGCAAGGCCCGTGGGCCCAAAACTTTACAACTGTGATGCCAGCGCAGCTCCTCGTTACCAGTTTTCCTCTAATGCTCATGCAGGTATACTAAAACTCAACCGTATTAATCATCCTTTCTGTTGTCATCAGTTTAAGTCATCAATAATTCTCTAATGAAAAAAAATATTGCTTTTGTTAATAGTTTCGGGTTGGGTCAATTTTTTGTTTTCTCTTCCTTGAACTAAACACTTATGAGGCTTGTGTGACAGTTGCTGAAGAAGAAAACCATGGAAAAATACTCCAAACGAACTGAAGACTTGCCAAATACATGATAACACAATCGATTTTTTGTCGGCTTTGAAGTCTCGTTAATGAACCCGCCTCATCAGTCTGAGGTTTAGCTTTGCATGTCTTTCCAGTTTGTAATTTTTTGTGGTGTTTTACGTTTTTTAGGTATTTGACTTTGTTTTTCATGAACCCGCCTGCATTCAGACAAGGGTTTAGTCATGTTCTTACCAGTTTGTTGTTTTTTAGTTTATTTCTCAAGTTGTATTGCAAATAATGTACGAAAAGCTTCATTTAGTTGGTCCACTGGCCACTGGTAGCAAAACCGTCTCCTAGAGAATATGCAGACTAAATCAAATCTATTAATTCTATTTAATTATCTATATATAATATTATGAACGTCTTTATAGTATTACGAAAATTTTACTTCACTACTATAATTTTAGTTCATCTTCAACTCTTATTTTTAAACTCTAGTATATTAATTATGCTCTAGTAAAGTGAAGCAAAACTTGAGATTCATCTCCAATTATCCGTACTACGTTTTACTTAACACAAAAATATTCTATCTTTACTATCATTAATTATTTTTTAATATCAAATTAATATAATGAGATATATTATTTACTTTAGAAATATTTACACAATCTTGGTGGGCATGGTGTGGTTTGAGATATTACTAGACAAAAAATATATTTCTATAATATTGCAGTAATTTAAAAAATAAAATATTTTCCCAAATAATATTTTGGTATTAACTCTATAATATAAACAAATTAACAAAATATATAAAATAATTAAAAATTAATAGCGCAACACTATTTATAACTCCAAAGTACTGTAGAAATGTAGCACAATACTTTTCAGAGCTATTATGACGCGAATATATATTATAGGGCTTATTTGGCTCCATGACAACACTAGAGTTAGGAATTACTTCAAAGTGGTAAACATTGTGTGGCTATTCGAAGATATATTAAGTTCTTTGGCTCCATGGCAACACTAGAGTTAGGAACTACTTCAAAGTAGTGGGCAATGTATTGCTAGTATAGAAGCAAACATTTTCTTTTAGATTACAATAACGGTTAAGGATTAAATCGTGTCAAGAACACGACGACGCATAAAGAAAATAAATAAATAAAAACGAAAAACTCCTTCGGGAAGACTATCAACTCCTATAATAGAGACTATTATACTTCATTAAGTGAATAACAAACCGACGTAACATTAAAACACCAAACAAACAAAAATGAAAATCACATCACAATATATAAAAAAAAAATAGGATAAGTCCAAAAATATATTGGCTACTGCAATCGTAAGAATGTCAAGGACATGGCGCGCGCTCCCAATCATAAACTAGTCACTCATCCTGAAACAAAGTGATTGGTAGATTCGAGGCTCACACACATGAAAGCTCCGACAAAAACTTAGTTCGACAAATCAAATCTGACAATGAATAAGAGCATAACAAATATCCACCAATATATATGATTGAAGGGAACTGGGAGACCCGACAACATCAATCACCAATCCTATATGTTTGTCGGTAGGAGACACCGAAGCTGGCCAAGGTAGAAACAAAAAAAGTAGGACGCTGAGCAAGAGAATGAGAGAGAAGAGTGAGAGAGACCCGTCGAGGTGAGAATAAAAAATATCGTATACAAATATCTAATCACACTTTGTATGTTTAATGCTAAATTAAGGATAAAAAAATCATCGTTAAATGGAAAATTGCCAGATTAGCCGACTTATATATATATATATATATATATATATATATATTAGTAAAAATACATACTTATATTTTTTCAACAAAATAAATACTTTTACAAAATACCACCTTCAAGAAATATTATAAATAGCCATTCATAAACAAATTACAAATAAAAAAATAATACAATTTAAAAATTAATAATAAAAATAAACTATAAACAAACAATTCTTAAAAAAGTTCCAACAAAATAAAAATAAATTTGCAGCCAACTCCAACTCAACAAAACTAAAAATCATAATAATGCTAAGGAGCTAGCTATCGGCTGAGTATTACTGCTAAAAATCGGCCCAAATTGTTATTTCGACTCATTTCAAAACATGTCCGGAGAAAAGAAAATAATCTAAGTATGTATATGCCACGTGGATTCTAAGAGCCTATAAACGAATGCAAACCTATTTATATTCCACTCGTTATTCTGCCTTTTCAATTTCTCCCCTTTTTATCTCATCCATCTCTGTCTCCGCCGTTGCTCCGCCGTCTCTCTCTCTCTAGAAAGCCTTCAGAGTCTCAAATCATCTGTCCATTTTCACCGGAATTACTATTCTTGGCCTCTGAATTTGTGCGCTGCACTTCGAAATTCCCGAAAATCAGCAAAAAATGGCAAGCGCTACGACCAGCAATGTCTACATCCATGTTATCGAGGACGTCATCAATAAGGTCCGCGAAGAGTTCATCAACAACGGCGGCCCAGGAGAGAACGTGCTCAATGAGCTCCAAGGAGTAATGATTTCTGAATTCTTAATCAATTGAATGTTATGTTGTTAATTAATTTTAGGGTTTAGGGAAAATGAATTTCTCGTGGAGCGTTATTGGGGGGGAATTTGTGAATTATCGTGTTCCGTATGATTGATATGGGCTTGGGGAGTTTTTGAAGGTTGCGATGTTTTGGATTTGTGGTTGGGATTTGGCTGTTGATGCTTTTAATGTTTGAAATCTACAGTTATGGGAACTGAAGATGATGCAAGCTGGAGCAATCCTGGGTCCCATAGATAGGTCAGCTGCACAAAAAGGCGTGGCAGGTGGTCCGATCACACCTAATCCTGTGCATGACCTCAACATGCCCTATGAAGGCACTGAGGAGTATGAAACCCCCACTGCTGATATGCTCTTTCCTCCGGTGAGGACTAGTTTTTTTCTCAGTCTCCCTGTGGATTTTTTTTTTTTTGGTCATGTGATTAAAAGTTTTGTTTGTTCTGTTTTTGGGTGTATTTGTAGACTCCTCTGCAAACTCCTATGCAGACTCCCTTGCCTGGAACAGCACAGACACCGTTGCCGGGAACAGCTCAGACACCATTACCTGGAACAGTTCAAACACCTCTCCCTGGAAGTGATAGTGGTTCAATGTACAATATTCCCACTGGTGGCACCCCAATAACCCCCAACGAGTATACACATACTAATGAAAATGGTGGGGTTGCTGAGATAAAAACTGGACCTGGACGACCTAGTCCGTTTATGGTATGATTGCTTCATCATCCTTTCTGTTGTATTTATTTATTTATTTATTTATTTTTTTGTTTGGTTTGATTGAAGACAATAATTGATCAGAAATTTAGTTCTTATTATTATTGTTATATATTATGCAATTATTTGTCTATTGTAATGTTCTATATAGGAAATTCCTGAATAAAGTCGGTGAGAAATATCTGCAATTTCATTTCATCTCGCTAGGTGGAAAAATTGATTCTTTTTCTTCCTTTTCTTCTTTCTCAGCAGCCACCATCGCCTTGGTTAAATCAAAGGCCTTCTCTTGATGTTAATGTTGGTGAGTATGACCTGTAGATGCACATTATGAAATCATATATACATAGGGATGGATGAAGTATTGTGTCTATATCGAGGTGAACTGGACAAATGCAGTTTAATAATATCTCATTCCTTGTAATAATTCTTTTTGCAGCTTATGTGGAAGGTAGGGAAGAGGGTGAGAGGGCAGCTCCCAATCAGCCAGCAACTCAGGTATGGTCAATTATCTGTAAGATTGAGTGAGTTGCAGTCAACCACCTAGCCTCATTATATATAACTCGTCCTAGCAGCTGACTGTTCATTTTCTTCCTCTAGAGAAGTAAGCAAAAAAAAGGAAGATATATGGTGCTGTAGTACTTGGATATCATGTCATTTCATTTTCACTCTGTTTATGATATATCATTCAAAATGATTTTTCATAAAAAGAAAAGAATTTTATTCACTCTTTCTTCTTCTCCTATCGTCTTAAGTCTTCACTCTTTGAGAAAGAACAAACCATTCGCATTTCCTCATGAATTTGACAAATTACTCAAATTTCTCTTACCATCAATGATGTCTCAAGTCTTCACTCTTTGAGAAAGAATAAACCATTCTCATTTCTTCATGAATTTAACTTTCCATCCTCTCAAATTTTTGTTACTATCAATGATGTCCATTCAGTATTTTGTTTCATGTAAATTTTATTATGACATTTATCCTAAATCAATCACACTATTAAAATTAACACCCTTTTATGTTTTAGAATTTCCCCCCACTATTTTACTGCAAAATATATATTTACTAATTGAAACCATTTCTAATGGAACCTAAATTTCTTTATTTTCTTGTGTTGGGTAATTATCAGGGGTTTGCTGATCTATACTTGTGGATCTCCTTAAAAATTAGTGAGGCTTTGGCCATCTGGCACCCTATATGAAATTTTAGAATTGCATTTGCTTAATGGATATAACTATGTGCCATAGTCCAAGGATTTCATATCTGTGAAAATTACATTTGTATTTTGTGTTCCTTGTAATGGTCCAGACATTGCATTGTGACCCTTGCATCGGATCATAGATAAATGAAATTTCTTGGTTAGCCTATCAAGTATATAAGTAATAAGATGGCCAAGTTTTACTGTGGGTCCCTTGAAAAGCACGGTGGGAGACTTGGTGAATATATTGCTCCCATTTGTTGTTTTTAAAGGATACTACTTTAGCCTTTGAGATTTTTTGTGGGTTCCCACTTCTTGACTCTACTTGATTAGAAAGCTTTGCGAGTGAACTGCCAAGTTGTGTTTGAACAGGTCAAGCTATGCATGGTAAAAAAGTTATAACTTGGTATTTAAGATTCATTATTATATGTAATGTTATCAATAATTGGCAGTGTGATTCCAAATGCTTATGTGCAGACTAAATTTGCACTTTGATCACAATTATAAAAAGATGGTGTGAAAAGGACTTTAAGTTTGTGCTTTATCAAAAGTCGACATTGTTTATGTCCTTTAAGATTTGACAAATATTACTATTTGTCTGAATTACCAAACTATTTATTCGAGTTTGAAAGATATGGGTAATATAATAAATTAAGTTCCTCTTTTCTTCCAAAAATGTACAATTTTTGTTCCACAAATCATTATCGCAATTGTGTAAGAATATATTATTGATAGTACTAATAGTGTCAGATAATTATCCTTCGATTGAAGAGAGAAATTGACAGTCTATCACAGTTGAAAATATATTTCAATTTCCCTTTAAATTATACTCATCCAATTGTAAGACTCTTGAGCTATGAGTACCCACGTTTGGCCTCAGCCCAGTTTCTTGGCTCAAGGTGAACTCTAGTTTCATCATTTTCTGTGTGAGTCTTGTATCTCTAGTAGATGAAGTATCAAGGAATATAAAATTTGAAATACTGGGCAGTGAAAGCTGCTGGATGAGCCTGCTGGGACAAGTCTAGTTATTTTTCGGATGAATTACCACTATATGATTTCTGATCTAGTGGGTGGATTCTTTTCATTTCACTTCATATATTGTCTACCAATTCAACTTGAAGATTCATTCGCTAAATGGCATGTCGACTTTCTCAATATTATACTCCTACAACAAGGATGCCTTGTTTTATGCTTTCTCAGAGCTAGTCAGATCTTGTTTCCATGTTTCTTTGAAATTTCCCTTTTTAGCCAAAGCTTATTAGAAAGGGAAATGAACAATTAATAGTTAACGTTTTGAGTTTAATAATTAAATATAACAAGGAAAAACTTTCCTATACATGATTAACTTCGTAAGTATAGAGATTATTGTGGGAACTAACTTTATAGCAAGAAACTAAGCACTTGGATGATATTTGAACGTTTGTTCGTTGCCTCAATTGTTTGCTGACGTTTCATTTGTCATTGAAAAAATGATTATTTCTAATTGTAGAAATGTATAACATTCACTGAATAGCGACTAGTTTATGTGAAAGCTTTTCGGAGAAAAAGAGGGAGAAAACAAGATATCCTCGGAAGGGTTATTTCACACAGTTCCTATTGAAGCATTTTGTAATTGCGTTTACATAATGCTAGAATATAAATGCAGGATTTCTTCATGCCTTCCGGAAAGCGAAAACGGGATGATATCCCTTCACAATACCGGGCTGGTGGGTACATCCCCCAGCAAGATGGAGCTGGGGATATTTTTTCAGATGAATTGAAGGTAGAGTTTTTTCATGCATAATTTGATCCTTATAATTTATTGGCTAAGATGCCGGCTGTTTGTTTGTAGAATAACGAGTTGATTAACTCATTTGTTTGTTTTGAAATAAAATTGTGTCAGGATCGTGCTGAACTAGTGTAATGTGGTTCTCCATATGCTGTAGGTTGTCGCATTGATTATTACTTGTTTGCATGCAAATTGTGAAGGCCCTACAAGTTTTAACTTTCAACGCATACAGTAGCAAAAACCAAAATGCATATATCCGACAACACCAAGTTGCTGTTCTTTCCCATTTCAACAAAGAAGCACTACAAATAGAAAATAAAAAAATAAGAGGAGAAAGGGAGTAAAGACGTGCTCTTTTATTTCAAATTGCTTTAGTATTTATACTTAGTTCATCACTAGGCAATATATACTTCATGATTCTCAACTTTATCTTTGGTACTCATCTTTGAGATCCTTACCAAAATGATCTGCTTCCGGTTTCATTTGAAATGTTACAAGAATAGAATAAGGCCATGTAAACTTGAAGTGCATATAATTTGTGCATAGGTACTAAAAGGTTAGCTTTAGCCTTTAGGTTTAGAAAATCATTATGATAAATGCAACTAGTTAGGAGAATCCCACCTATTTGTTATTAAAATTGGTGTTGGAATATCACTTGTGAGTTATTCCACATTGATTCTATAAGGCAAATGTACCTAGTTTATAAGCCTAGTGGGCTACTCCCATCATCAATTGGGTGACAACTGGGCTCACCCTCTTAATGTGCTTTTCACCCTATGGGACCACGCCCTTTCCCCTAAGGGCCCTAACTATGTAAATCTAACAATTGGAAACAGGCAGTATAACCGAATAAATTGCTATCAATATGATACACAAAATCTGATTCTAATGAAAAGTAGTTCCTTTTTTTTTTTTTTTTTTTGCAAAGTAATAACTGTGAACATGAGAAGATGCGTGAACTTTAGTAATGAAATAATTGTCTTACAGCTTGTTTCTCCGGTTAAGATCTAGATGTATAACAGTATAAACAACAGTATAAGATCAGGTTATCTTCAAGAATAATTTACTTCTTGGGGTGGAAGCTATCAAAGTGAATGTAGAATGGGTTGTTTGCGGAAAGTTTAATCCTTGGATTCCAATTTTAGCTACAGCATTGATGTGCAGTGGAATCAAGGTTTTAGTGGCCAAACAAGAAAAAAGTAGCTGTTAGGTGAATGTATTAATAGAGTAAATAAATAAAAGGTGTATTAATATTCTTAAGAGTTCGTTTTTTTTTTTTTTTTAATATATTTATCTTAGGAAGCCAATATGGGAGTATAACATAGTTATAAAAGGTGCGCAAGGCCTCCTAGAGAAGTATTTAACTTTTGCTTTTAGATTACAAGCAAGAAAATATACAAATACAACTGGCATTATTTTTTAAACACATAACTCATAGAATTTGATTACACCAAATTAAGCACGTGACATGAAATTTTACATAAAGGTGGCAAAAAATGGTGTATAAGTTTAGTGATTGCTGATTTTAAGGCCTGATGTTTAAAACAACAGGATCTCTCATTTTCGTGCGATTCAAACATCAAACAGAAAAATAACGACGTCGACCTAATTATGATTATGAGCTGTTGTAGTGTTATAGCTCGTATTTCCGTGCACATAGAAACTGATTAATTGACATATATCCTTAATATAGTTACTTGCGACGTGTTTGACAACTTGCAGTGGACGCCATAAGTGTTACGGCCTGTGATCTCTTGATACATTGCCGAAAACCCTAAGTTTGTATTATTTTGTTTTCTTGTCTTTATCTATGCAAGAGTCCGGCACGCCATCCATTACTGGGCTTTGAAGGCACTTTAGGTTGCGGCCAACTACTCTAACAATTATAATTTCTGAGATTCACGAGTCCCCAATTATAGTTTTAGTTATCGTACTTCTTTTACAGAATTCTCTCAATTCTCCACTTGTTTCATCTACCCACAGGTTACTTCCTTTGTGCTGCATTATCTTCTCCAAACTGCATTCTTAGTAAAAACTAGTACATGCCAGTCATTGACGAATTCTAATATATTGAAAAGCTTTTGTAGTTTTTAGATGTTGGTGCCTGGTAGGTAAATTTACGTTCTCTTTGTTGCGTCAGTAGTTTCTTGCCTATTTTTACGGGTTAACTATTTTTCAATGTCCTGTGTTGTGTGACTTCTCTATCTACTGCAGCTTCACAAACCTATAATTGTGCTATGATAGGTAACTCATAGGGATGTTCAGCAAATATCTGTCCAAACGGGAACACTGTCTTTCAGAATATCTCAGTTGGATGGTCCCATACCTGATCCATATGATGATGTGCTTTCAACACCCAATGTGAGTTGCCCTCTTGTATTGTTTAGTATGCTGATAACATGCAGGCACACAAGTTGTAAGATTGGTCTATGGTATTAGGATCACAAGTTAGTAATTTCACGCTTTTAATGTTCATGGTTCATCAACATCTTCTTAATCAACTTCACAGGGTTGGGTGGGTATGGACTTCCTTTAGTCCCTAAGCTTTATGGGCTTGTATTTACTGTTTCTTTTTTAGCTGAACCGAGTAAATAAAAGAAGAAATAATAGTAATTTAATGATCGAATATGTCAAACATGCCCTGTTCCAGTTTTTCGCATATAAATTATAGTGATATTCGGTGTGACATTTGTTTCCTTGTTATGAATGTGTCATCTATTGCAGCCCTTCTTTCAGTTCAACATTTTACTTCTGTTTCCATGTTCTCTTTTTTGTGCATCTGTAGTATTAGGAGAAATGTAAGTTTTGGAAACGACAACGTTATAGTCATCTGTGGTATTTATCCTCTTTGACAGAAGCTCAATTTATGCTCATTCAAACAAATATAGTTTGAGGCTTTGAGCAGGTCTCTTATAGCTGCCCCTTTTTCATGTATTCTTCGAATCTGGGGATTAATTTGACAAGACACTCCTTGTTAATTTTCAATTTATGGCAAATAAGCTATTCTTTTCTTGCATCACCGCAACCTACTTACATTTCTAGTTTGTTCAAGATTTCGAGATAAATCTACTGTAATTTAGTGGCAAGAAGCTTTGTAATTGCCTGGCTTGACTGGCCGTGTCATATTGGCTGAGAAAATTTCAACTTCTATTGGGCTTAAATTTATATTCGCAAAGTTAATAGAGTAATTGTCAATGAAGACCTATGTTCTAGGATATGCTGCAATACCAGGGTTTCAGGGTTTCAATGATTTCTTTCTTGGTTGGAAAGCATCATTTTGCGTTCATGTTTTGTTGGTGGTTAAAACTTGATAACACAGTTAATCAAAATTGGAAGTTTGTGTACCTTTCTCCTCTTGTTATTGTGTACTCCATAGTCTCCCTTATTTTGTTATTAATCTGTATTTTTTCTCAACAATATTATCTGCGTAATAAGAATTTTCCGTCATTTCCCATCCTTATTTTGATAGATATACAATTATCAAGGAGTTGTCAATGAAGATTACAATATAGTGAACACGCCAGTGCCAAATGGTAACACTGATGATCTAATTTATATCACTCGGCATGTCTTAAAACTGTTTAAGCTCCGATGTTGATATCCTACCACATCTGCACTTCCAGAGATGCTAGCAGCAACTCCAGCTCCTGTACTGAATGAAAATGGGGATGATGATGATGATGAAGATGAACCCTTGAATGAAAATGATGACGATGATTTGGATGATGGAGACCAAGGCGAGGATCTAAACACATCACATTTGGTTCTAGCTCAGTTTGACAAGGTACTGACAGCAAGTTTTCAACTTTTCCCTTTCTCTCTCTCTCTCTATCTCTCTCTCTCTCTCTCTCTCTCTCTCTCTCTCTCTCTCTCATTCATTAAGCTGTAAAGGTGTTTCTGTAATATGGTAATTTATCTTAGGTGACAAGAACCAAGAGCAGGTGGAAATGCACATTGAAGGATGGCATAATGCACATAAATAACAAAGACATTCTGTTCAACAAGGTACTTTTTTTTATAAAGACATTCTTTACAAAATGGTAACAAAGACATTCTGTTCGACTCATTCTGACTTATGTGCTCATTCTTTACAAAAATGAGAATTTGACTTGTGGTATGGCTGCTGGTTTTTCTACTCTAGGCAACCGGAGAATTTGACTTCTGATATTGTTGAGGAAAAGCGAGGTGGTACGCGGTTTGGTTGAAAACCAGAGATATTTCTTGTCTTGTTCAGTCTCTTTGGTCCCTCCAATGAACCCAGAAAATTGGCATCGTTTGTGATGGCCTAATGTGAATACAGGGTTTTTGGTTCCTTTTGTGTGTTTAATCCTTAACGAGTCTTCATACTTGAGCATCTCAATTAACCTTGGAAATCCTGGTATTGATGCCAAAATTACTTGCTTCTCTATTACTTTAAATTATACTAGATGTGGTTGATTATCTGCAATCACTGTGATATAGCTTTTCTCCATTTCCAATTTTTTTTTTTTGCATATCGTTTGTAATGCGCGTGGCACTCCAAACTCACCATCTAATAAGTTTCTGCTTATTAGAAAGTTATAAACTAGGGGAAAATTTGACCATAATGCCCATACTGGGGTCCAAGCTGTCAGATCGAACATGCGCACACCCACACGCACATACACCTGTGTGGGTATGTGTTGGTCTATCGGTTTGGAAACTATTGTGGGCACTAGTGAAACCCTCCCACTCCTTTTAAACACGTTCTTGGTTCCCCATACTGGGGTCCAAGTTGTCAGATCGAACATGCGCACACCTACACACACACACTTGTGTGGGTATGTGTTGGTCTATCGGTTTGGAAACTAGTGTGGGCACTAGTGAAACCCACTAACTCCTTTTAAACACGTTCTTGGTACCCCAGAACGTGTTTTTCTAGTGATCTTTACAAAACCCCTTTGTGAAAACTTCGGTCAGAACAACTGAACATGTGTTCTATCTACTTACAAAACCTACCATCTTCGGTAAGACAGTCACACATGTGGTTTATGACTCAATTACTTTTTAAATAAAATCTCTTACTCCTAGGATAATAAATCATATGAAAAATATGAAAGAAAATTGATGGAGACGAGATCGTCCTCGCATTTCTCGATAAATATGATTGACTTCAGATTTAATTTATTTATTAGTTTAGCATTATTCTTCCTTCTATTTTGTTTTCTTACTTATTTAATTATTATGAGTAAAGTAAATAATTATCTTGCAGCTTATTAGGCAAGATACTAGTAGGAAAAATACTAGAGGGGTGAATGAAATTGAAGTTTTATCAGATAGTGTGAGTCCTTAACGAGAGAGTATCTTGTATTATCCCGTTCTTATTCACGTTTTATATTAGAAATGCTTTTGGGAAGTGTGAGTTTTGAGTTTGGAAACAAAATTTGAAAAAGTCCAATTGGTGGACTTGTAAGGAACTCATTCGTTGGTTCATATGACTCCTGCGACTAAGCGTTATTGTAAGGAATTCATTCATTCGTTGGTTCATAGACATCGTGAGGAAAGACTGTCGGAACAAGAATATTCGTTAATTTTCTTTTTCCTTTTCTTACATCAAATCAACAAGGGTTCAACCAGTCTAGTGTCTTGCTTTCGAACATTCATACCCAACACCAACGAGCAACAAAGAAAAAAGCAGAGAACAAAAAATACGAACACAGACAAATGTTGCATAGAATGATATAAAATGCAATGGCATGTCTCGTGATAATATAATTAATAATCACCTTACCGTTACAACCTTCCCGATTTTTTCTCGAATGGGAAAGCAAATTAGATCAATGGGTGCCTTGGTAATATTTTGTAAAAATACGTAACGAAGTCTTTGACTGAGATAATAGACAGTATTAAAAAAGCAACCTGCTGTCACTTGATATGAGACTCCCAAGTCGATACCTCACCAATAACTCCATTCAGTACGCTGTTGAAGGGCTCGGCATTTTGAATTCCAATGGTTGATCCTGATATCTCGTTATGTGGAGAGTTGTTGTCTCCAATGTGTGGGGCCATTATTGGGGGCACTACGAAGTTTGTGTTGTTATTAGCGTAGTCTTGTGGAACGTTCAAGTAATTTTGAAGGAGATGGCTCAAGCTGGAGGTCAATGAGCCACGAGCAATCATATCTTCAGCTAGTTTCACCTGAATATGTATATGGTATCATGTGAATACATATTCGATCACATTTTGCCTAATTTTTGCACTCTACTCAGGTGGAAGGTCCACACACACACACACACAGAGAGAGAGAGAGAGAAAGAGAGAGAGATCTAAACAAGAGATTCAATGTGTTCGTGTGTCTTAATCAACAGGAAAAAGGGAATTGAAACTAAAGGAAAATGAGGGAATTAACTCTAGTTTATTTCATCATGGAAATATAAGAAATAATAGTAACTAAGAAAATAAAGGGAATTGAAACTAAAGGAAAATGAGGGAATTAATTCTAGTTTACTTCATCATGGAAATATAAGACATAACATTAACTGAAAAAATAAGTCTTAACTAAGTAATAGTAGTACTCTACCTTGGCTCTAAGAGCTTCAACATCAGATCTAAGAACTCGGTTATTAGTTGTTGAGTCTTTGAATCTCTGAGTAGCATCCGCAAGTTGTTTGTACAATGCAGCATTCTCTCCTCGTAATTCCTCAGCCTTTATTAGGTCCGTGAAAATAATGGGTCATTAAGAAATACTAATAATAGGATGAGTGATGTAAGAAGTTTCTAACTGTCAAAAAATTTAAATTTATGGGTAAAATGCAAGCGAATGATGAGCCAATGCATACTAAATAACTCCATTTTATGTACATGCAGTTGATATCATGCTGGTATTCTTATTAGTCTGAGTGACTGCTTATTGAGGAGAAATTCCACGCCAAATAGAAATGTCACACACCACTGGATAGCTTGCAATTTTCTTCTTTTGTTTTATTTTTTTTCGAGTAGTGTATTGGGAATGTATCATCTCAAACAACACGAATATTTGGAGTATCGGAGCATAACTTGCCCAAGATGAACACATATCAGTAGTAAGAAGTATACATTTGGTCGTGTATTATCAACTTTCAACTACGAAGAAAGAGCAAAAACTATATAATGGTACCTGTTTTTCAAGATCTGCCAAATGTGCCTGCTTTCTTCTTCTCGAGCGCCGAGCGGACTCCCTATTAGAAACCATCCTGAACAATTCACAGCACTCTATGTAAGGCTTGTTGTGCTACTCGCAACTTCTCAAGTCCTAGGATTATAAGAACTTTCGCGAAACTCTTTCTTTTCTTTTTAATAACGAGAAATGATTCAGAACTTCTAACCATAAAAGTTTTCCTCTTTAAAAGCTCAGAATGTTTTATTTAACAAGGGTTTTTGAACACTTTCAACATGCCTTTTGAAGCGCTTGATATCAATAGGACTTTTGTTTTGCTCACAAGAACCCGCTTCTGTCTCAATGTCAAAATCATCATCTGATTGCTCATCACTGCTATCTTCAACTATTTGATTATCTTCCCCCTTTGAAATATTTGCCGATAATGGGCTACCAGCTGCAAACATGCAAGCAGTTTAGGAAGTCTGTCACGTGATACAAAGATTTGAAACAACATTCACCAAAGAAATAGGCAAAATTAAAATTTGGTTGCAATTGGATATGAAATAAAATACATTTTCATCTCATTGGAGAAATTTTTCTTAAAAATCATACTACTCAAAAATTTCACAATTTCTTACCTCCATTTTTATTATACAATTTATAAAATTAAAATTCATTTGTAACTACACATTTTACTATGAAATTTACTATTTATCCATTTACATATTTCTGAATCTCACTCATTATTTATTATTTTCACATCATATCACTTTAATTACATTTTCATCATACTTTTCATACTATATTTTTTCTCCATAAAACATCTTTTCTCCAGTGAAATAAAAAATTTCAACAAAAGCATATCCAGTCGCTCTTTAAGACTTCTGTTGAAGTTAATAAATGGCCGGTTGTAAGTATAAAAAACAATTATCAAATGCATATCTATTTTATAAAATTGCAAAAATCTCATTAAAATTTGTTTCTAGTTCGCCAAATTGCACCTATTGAGAGGTATGTAACTTACGAAAAATTCGAAACTTAAGGAGGAATTAACAATCTTTCTTCTAATTTTGAGTACTGGAATTGTTCGGACAACCCATTACTCCCTGCTGTATCATTCACATACCGCATATAGAAGATTGTGAGTCAATCGGCAACAAGAACTTGGACTGTTTGGCATACAGACTTTGAGAACAGATTGAAGTGTTATCAGCCAAAGAATTAGAACCCGAGAACTCTTTGAGATTTTCCTGACATTTTCAGAACAAGCATTATTATAAGTAGCTTTCTAAATAAGATAAACACAGACTGCATTTTCCCAGATAAAAAACATTAATCAGAGCAATGCATAAGATCAAAATGAAAAGCGATATAGTTAGGGACCAAAGTTTTATATCACGAAAAAGAATAATCTAAGATCTAATGAACCTTAGTCTTCAAACGCAGATTATCTCACGGGTGGAGCAAGAAATCCGGTTGTATTATATTAATTATTTTTTTCTTATATGAAAAATAATTTTTATCTAGTTTAAAAAAAGAAAAAACATGTAAATATTGTTCTGATCATATTTACATTGTTGAAATAATAAATATAAGTATTCAAACAAAGAACTTAATATAGAAGGAAAATATGTTACACATGAAATATAATGAATCCAATTTTAATCTCTTTCATAATATAAAAGACTTGAATCTTGGCATATATTCTAAAAGTTTGTTATATTTGTAGAATATTTTATGGAAAATAAAAATATAACTTGTAGGTAGGGAGAAAGTCCCCCTTTAAATCCACCCCTTGATGATCATCTGAATTCAGCCTGGTTGGAATGATAAACTAAAATATTATAATTTGTATTATGATAATTTAGTTCAAAATAACTTGAAAAGATTTGTTGAGTCCAAAGTCTGGGGCCACTCTACATGAAAAAATATAGCTTAGAGATGTTGCTGAAAGTTAACTACAAAACCTCTACCTCTGTAAATGAGTTAGTAATTGGAACCTTTTCATCTCAAGCTTACTGTTTTTTCAATTGAATGCTACATAAACCCCATGCTTTATAAGAAAGATGGGCTCTGCCCATATGCCAATATCTCCTTAATTTTTTTGTCCTGGTTTTTCTATTTCAAATTGCAAATAGGTACTTGTAATTTTAATTATTGCATCTATATTCAGCTTATGACACCCACCAACTCTCTCCATGTGATGTTTTCCAGGCCAAATATAATAACCAAAGACCATCACCAAAACCCACTTACACATAACTAACAAAAGTTTGAGAAAAATAAAAAAGGAGATAGAGATGGAGATAAAAGAGGACAAATGACATACACCCAAAAAAATCAGACTCCAATTTTTGTCATCTAGTCCAAGCCAACCGATACTACAGAAATTAGTAGGTTTGTGTGCTGTGCTAGCTTTATTTTATATTAACATCATTGTATCTCAACTTATGTGACCCAAATTGATGTATCTGATAAGTACAGGACTAAATGCGCAATATCTCCATACTTCTTTGAGAACCAAAAACAATGAAATCAAGCTTTTTCTTCTTTATTACAAACTACCCTTTTTCAAGAAAAGAGTGGTTCACAATATTTTCCAGTTTCATGAGAAAAAGAAAAAAAGGATGGCCAAGATTGAAACATGTAGTGGCATAACCAGCGGGGACTTGACAAGATCACACAAGTTATTGATTTTCAATTGCCTAACTACAACAAGACAAACTAATGTTAAAGCATAAACTTTGATAAAGAAACGTTTACCATTTTAATTTTTAACTAAAAGTGAACGACTACCCAACTTTATGTCCACATTATCAGTACAATGGCATCAAGATTTTTCCACTCTATTGAAAAAAGGTAATACAAACATTAAAAATGTCAAGCGAATAGTAAATTAAGAATCATAAACAGTGAAAGAAAGGCCCCGCCATAGAACCTTTACGACATAAATTCACAGGAAATGCAAGAGGAAATTAGGAGTGAATAATTAATTCTTAAGGAGTTTGGAAAGCTCAGGAAAAGTTCTTCTGAACTTATAGCTAGAAACTGCATCATTTTTCCTTTCCCCAATCCCACCTTGTTTTACATCTACCAATATATTTGATCATCTGAGTAAAAGTATTTTCAGCCTCACACCAGATTTCCCCATATACTTCATTATCAACATCAATTTATTGGGAAATGCCACGGTCCCGTTACGGTACCATCCCATCGGGAGTTTTAACCGTTGGATACACATGTAGTCAGTACAAGATAGATGATCCAACGGTTAAACGGGACCATAGCATTTCCCCAATTTAAATCCAAGTAATTGCTCCACTTAACAAACTACTAATAATATCATCACCAACCAATCGAATCTCTTAGCAAGTATACCGTCCATAATCTTTCCTTCCGCAAAATTTCATCAATACCCAACCAAATTACACACCAAAGCAAACCTAAAAAAAGGGTACAAAAACAGTGGAAAATTGAATCACTTTAGCTAGATGTAAAAACTGACCAAATTATCGAGAGCCAAACGCGGCCGATCGCCATCCTCGACGGAAAACAAGTCGTGAATATAGGATCCAGAGCCTCCGAAGATCCTATTGGGTCTGTTTTGAAAGTTCTCGTCGTCTACAGAAGCAAAAAGCTCGTAAAGCGCCATCTCGGAAGGGCTCCGCCTCAGGCCGCCCCCGCCGCCCCCGCCGCTGAAAATCGATCTGTTCACGATACCTCTTTTCTCTTCGTCCATCGATTCACATCTTATTTTGCAACTTTCTTCAGCTTATCAGAAGAATGGAGCTCCTGTGCGTGTGCGTGTGCATGTGCGAGAGAGAGAGTGTGTGGGGGAAAGTATAGAGAGAGAAAAATGAAGGAAAAGGAGATTTTGTGTATTAATGGCGCAAAAAGTTTGGTTAAAATGAAACGGCAGTGGAGAGTAAGAAGCCAAAGTGGCTTTTTTTTCTTATATAAAATTACGCACATCACAAGATGTGCATGTACTAGACGAGTACTTAAATATATTAATATTTATATAATAAAATTTATTTTTTTTTAAAATTTTTATCGTAAAATTATGTAAAATGAATATAAAACAATAATAAAACTAACAAAGTGATAATTAATTCAATATAGATCTTGTATTTATACACTAAATTTGTTAAAAATTATATTTTTTAATTATATTTTTAAAATTATATTATATTATTTACAACTTCATATATTTGATTAAAAAAAATTTAAACAAAAAAAAAATTACTTGCGATTATATTTTATATTTATAGAGTCATGTGACTCTCGTTTATTAATCTTTAAGTTTTTTGACTTTTTTATAATTTAATAAGTAGAATACTAATTACACATAATGGATTATTTTATAAATTTATGAATCATCAAATTATTGTATTATATTTAATATGATATCTTTTTATATTTATTATTTTAAGTAATATAATGACATTTAATTCATTATATAATATATTTAAATCGAGAAATAATATTTTATAATATTCTGTAACACTTAATTTCCATAATTATCCAAATCTATGGAAAAGATACATTAAATTAACTATTTTATGGTGTATTGATTAATTAAATTTTTATTACTTGTATAAAATAATTTATATTGTTATTTGATATTTTAAAAATTTATATGATAATTTATTGTTATAAAGATAGATAAAAAAAAGTTAAAATAGTTTATGGTAATTCTCAAATCTAATAGTCAACACCAAACTTGTATATTTGTCAATACGAAGTACAAATTTATAACAAATAAGCTTACGAAGCATACAAATTTGTTGAGTTTAATAAGCTTACGAAGCACACAAATCTGTCACTTAAACTCACGGGCATTTTACATATAAGGGCAATTGATTAAAATTAATTTTAAAACATGAAAAAAAAAAGGAATCAATCATAGCTTTGAGCGATGATTGTGTGTCCCACTCAGATTGTGTGATGTATTTTCACTACTTTGATGCTGGCTGAGTTTACGGTTATGCCCTTTCGGACGGAAGTAAATCGTAACGGTGCCAGATGGGCCTGGTTGCTTCGTGGGATGGTAAAATTGGGCCCACCAATCATAGCCCGTGGGCGTGACATTTGCGGTCAACACACACCATGGCCCGCAGTGGAAACACACCGTGGCCCGCAGTGGGATGGGGCTAGTTAGTCCTAGTCTGGGACGTTTTATATGAGAAAATTGCACACGAGTGCATGACATATCATCTTTTATAGCAAAATTAGCATATTTATAAAATTAATTACAAAATTATAAGCTTTATAAAAAAATGATTACTTTAAATATGCAATTAATATTCATCATAATTAAAGGTAGACTTATCACCTTCCAAACCAACATTCCACGACACTTTCTCTCTCTCCCCCCTATCTCTTCTTCTCCTTCTCTCTCTCTCTCTCTCTCTCTCTCTCTCTCTCTCTTCTATGATTGGTGGAAGACGATGACCAACGACTTAGATGAGGACCAAACCGGTCGAGCCAACCGGTGAAAGACGGCGACCAACTACTTAGATGATAAGCGAAGCATAACTCAATGAAGGACCAAACTGACTCGAGCAGGCCGGCTATCGCAAAATTCGTGGAGGAAAACTATGTGAAATCGCTCCCAACAAATTTCCAGAAAATCCTGTCCATCCTATTGAAGAGGATCGTCAAATCGGAAAAGATCTCCGAGGTCAAGAGCTCGTACAAGATTCTGGCCCCGCGAAAACCTCGAGTCTTCCTAAGAAAATCGGCACGACCGTTGGATAAAACCGACGATCTGAAAATCGGCCATGGAGAAGGCGAAGAAGAAGAAGAAGACAAAGAGGTTGAGGAAGGTCAAAACGCTCGATGCCGTGAAGAAAAGGAAAATCTTTTATGTATATGTTCTCGTAAGCACAATCGACAGTCTAATGTGTTTTCTGCATATCTTTTGTATATATTATGTATATAGTATAATGCTCCTCTACCTACGGTGGGCACATTACAATATGCCCACCGTTTATGTGGCATGCACACATTGTTGATGTTAATATGTTCAAACAAATACATCACCAATTAGTGAATGTCACATAAGCGGTGAACATATTAACATGTGCCCACCGTGGGTAGGTGAGCATTATTGTATGCATATAATGACAAGATTGCTTTTATCTTGTGTTTTTGTATTTATGTCGTCTGTATATATAATGAGTATATCTTCCGCATATAAGTCTGATCGTGTATGTTGCATGTATTAAACCATAAAAAATACTATAAATATACAAAAAAATACGAGATGTAAATAACACAAAAAGTAAACAAAAAATAATTACGAAAAGATAAATTTCCAGGTTTATTTCATATTTTTTTCCGGACTTACATATTTTTTGTATATCTTCTTTATATATTATATGTATATGTATTTTTTTCAATTGGCGTTTATAGCAGCAAGATGAATGATTTTTGTGATTGTGTATATTCTATAGATTTCAGATTCCTTTCCATTTTATACGAATATCTTCCTAAACAGTAGGAAATATAGACTTTCCTTTTTTTGTTCAGTTCAATAATCTAATGGCATGATTGTAGGAAAGTTGTTAATTTGGTAACTGATGTTTTTGATTCATCTATAATAAATACATTTTTTTAGGTATTCATGCAAATAAAATCTCTCTCCTTGTAGTAATGCAATATCTTTAATATCTTGTGGTTAGTTTTAAATTTCGCTGGTTTATATTCTGTATAATAATTTTGGAGAAATAGAGATTGACGCCTTAATTCACTCTTATTTTCATTTTATGTCCTGATTATGTTTCATAGTCCTAATGTTATTTGACAGAAAAATTGTAGAGTGCGGGCAATGGATGATATGAACTGTAAAAAATAGTATTATAACAATTGGGGTTAGTATATATTTTAAAGTTGAGCATATTGACAATTCACAATTTTTATCATATATCTTATCTAAGAAAACAAATGTGGAACACAGCGAGTTAACAAATACCTATCTTGGAGCGATCATTCTTAACAAACATAGATGACACATTATCTCAATAGTACAATCTTGGATCACTATATAAAAATTGTCGACTAGCCTAACAAACGTGCTCTTAAAAGATTATTAAAAATGCCAAATTTGGTACGAAAAGGTAAATATAACAAAGAATGGGGTTCATAATACTGCACCAATCATCGGAGTTTAAAATTGTTAAGCCAAATAAAATATTATGAGGTTGTCACACCAGCTTTCTTGTTTGCATATGAAAAAACAGTGGTCTAAGTGCCACTTCCCCTTTGTTTTCCCACGGTTCCTTTTGCCAAACTATTCTCATATGTAATTTGGTAACAAGTTGATGAAGAAATTAGGAAAATATAAACATATAATAAAAGTAGATGTCTCAGAATCGGTTTAGAAGCTCTTTCGATAAGATATACGGACCTCTAGCTAGTCAGCAGCTCGATTGGAATACTTGTAAATACGAGCTCGAATCGGTAAATGGAAGATAGGAGTTCGTTAGGTTAGACTTCGAGAGCGTGCGTTAATCAAAACCAAACCCACCATAGAACCCATACTACTTGTTGGGTGGGGAACTTCTTCGTGCTCGGAATATTTGTCCATTTACTATTATGTTGCTTCGTTTTCGCAATGAGCCAATTTATTTTTTAATCATGTTAAACTAACATAATGATTGATCTAAAGTTTGATATAATAAATACATGACAAGATCATGTAGTTTTACTCATCATCATATCAACTTTACAATAAAAAATTTATACCCTTGCATATCATTCATCATTCATTGTTATCTATTTATTTTGTAATCACGTCAAAGTAGCATAATTCTTTATTTTTAGTTGGTAGGGCATGGTATATATTCGCTAAAGACCAAAACACCTAGACATCATAAAGAAATAAAAAAAAAAAAAGAAAAAAAAAATTAAATGAAAACAAAAGGACAAAAAATCGTAATCAAAGAAAATAACAATTTAAACATTTTTGTGTGCAATAACAAAATATTGGGTAAATAGGCATTACCTCGATTTGTGGCGTATTTTCCCGGATAGTGGTTTGGTAATTACTACGGTCCCCTCATGGAATACCGTCAGTGTGTAACAGTAGATTATGTATTTGAAAGCTAATAATAACCACAGAATTATTTCGTGACGGGACTGTTGGGTTCTCTATATCAGTCTCTTGTGTGTGTGTGTGAGAGTACTGTGAAAACGCTAATTTTATTTATGTGTAATGCTCTATTGAATTGAGTCCTTATGAACTTCATTTGCCAGAACACACACAATGTATTCCATCCATTACTATTCAATCATAAATAAAAGCATGTTACGAAAGTCCCAAATTTTGTAACGAATGCACAGAAACTATCCAAACAGGAAACAAGGCAGAGACGAATGACGATTGACCAATGAGGATGACAGGAGAAAACACTAACATTTAAGGATTAGGAGGATCATTATCGGCGCCTTTGTAAAAAGATTCGTATGTTGCCACTCGGGTCTTTGGATCGGGCAGCTCCATTTCCTCAACAAAATCTGTCGTCATCTTCAAGAAGTCCTTCATGTGCAGTACTTTCCAATCCTAGTACCAAAATGCAATAAACAGCCAAGTGATTGTGCAGGCAACATAGTACTTGCGTGGGAAATTATGACAAGTTGGCCAGTTTAGGTTTATGGGTCAGGCTTCATTAATAGGTAATTAAAGCGGGGAAAATACTTCGTATACGAGATTTACAAGGTGAGATACTTCAGGGCTCTAGTAGACACTTTTCTTGTAGCATATCGATGAGACTGAGCTTAATTACCTCAAAATTCCACTCGCCATTTAAGTCTGGATCAGTCTTGTTTTCCCATACATACGTGTATGCTTTCAACTTCTCTGAACTATCCTGCCGATATTAAATGAAAAAGGAAATTGGATAACAGAAAACCACCCTGAGGTTAGCCAAAGTAAATAAAAAATCCCAGTTATTTTCATTGTTAAAAGAAACAACACACCACTTAAAGAGTGTCACAGTCGAGTGGTAGGAATTTGTATGTACAGAACAATATCCCCGAGGCTTATTTTGCAGCTTTAAACATTCAGTAAGTTCTCAAAACTCAAGGTTGTATTTAAGTAACACTTGAAATTTTTTTCGAAAGTATTGTTCAGCTTCTAAAAAGATCGAATAAGCCTACAGCTGCATTGTCACCAAAAATAAGTTGAGAAATGCATGTTCAGAGTCTAACTAAAAGCTTGACCCAAGATTGAAGATTTACTCGGCACGAACAGAAACGAAGATATCAAACCAAACATACCTCCAAGCAAACATCAACAGTTGTCCTCTCGTACTCGACATCCTCAAACACATCCAAAATATGAAGTTCGGGTGGCGTAATGTCGAGAAGTACCTGAATACATCCATATAGAAAGCCACGAGTATAGGTAATCTTGATTTTTCAAGACACTATTCATCTATACACGGTCTCTTCCATTTCCAATCATTAGTTAGCTATTTTGGGAATTGTTGCTTTAGCGTTTAGATCACCAGAAAATGACAATCATACTATTCCACCCGAGTATGTTTGATCCCACCACATGAAAATAATGGACATTGTCCCAAGAGATTATATGTCAAGAAATCCTCGAAAGCCACAGTCACAATGAGTTCGGATTAATCAGTACCATGGATTGTCGGACAAACCTTGCCATGAACTTTCTTATCTTCAGCTGGTATAATTGCAGGGTAAACGCGCTCCTTGATACTAAACCTTTGGCTACAAAAGACCAGAATAAACAAAGAATAATAAAGCAGTGCTGCAGAAATAACTCAGTGAAGGGGCAAAAGTAGCTCTTCATATTTCCCATGAATACGGTGAATTCTCCCATAAATAAATAATTTTCATGAAAATTTTGGATCTCCAAAAGCAAAACAATGAATTCAGCTTTGGAAAAACAAAAAGAAATTGAATTAAAAGCTCCCTGAGCTGGGGATGGCTTTGAATTTCAATTCACAAAGAACGAACAATCACAAAGAACAATTTTCTCGTGTCTGTGGGTTCTTTTCTCAACAGAAAAATCTCAACACAAAAAATCCCATAAGGACTTGCTGAATCACACATTGGCCAGAGGACCGAACGCCTCCGACATGTCGTGCAGTACATCATGCTTTAGAGGTTGTACCACTCCGACCACAATTCACGCCCAATCACACACACAAGCAAAGAGAGACTGACTAATTGGGAAGGATGGCCGGAGCTGAACGAGGAACGCGACTCAAAAGGGCGCAAACGACGTCGTCGGAGAGGAGGCTGCCGTAGACGAAGACGTTAGAAACGGGTGGATGAATTGCAGGGACGGGAGACCCCATCGGTGGTGGTGACGATGATGACGTCAGTATTCCGATTCTCTTCGTCACTCGTGCTCTTCACGCTCCCAGCAAGTTGGAGGAGATTCTGATTTTCGTTGGCGGTTTTTAACTTCGGCTGCCTAGAATTTAACTTCGGTTGGGTATGGTAGCCATGGATTGTATCGATGGAGGTTGGGTACAGAGGTGCAGAGCTATTGGCCTCTTTCTGTTCGATAGTGAGAAATAAAATCAATATTTTTTCATTTTATTATTATTATTATTATTGTTGTTTGTTATTTTAAATATTACACATGAAAAATAATTTTATAAAATTAAATATCGTGTTAATATTAAAATTGGTTTTATAAATTATAGATGGTGGAATATGAATGTGATTTATTTACTCATTATTTTTGTGGTAATAGGTCACACAATTCAAGAAGTTAAATATGAAAAATTAAAAATTATGTTGGGAGTGTTATAAAATACGGGGAATATAAAGAACGCAATGTATAGAAAACGGATATAAACTGTAACAGATTTCTTTCTTTCTTTCACTTCTTTTTCCTTCACTTTCGTACATCACAAAATGACTACATTTGTTGCCCTTTTATAGGCAATTTAGGCACACATACCAATAACATACATATATAATAATGAAAGGATAATTAGTGGTAAATTCCACTTATGTACAATAGGGAGAGTTTTATTTGAGGGCGTTGAAAAATTTCTAACTTGGGGCGAAAAAGTTAACTGGTAAAATTGCTAAATGGGTAATATTTTTTTCTTAATTTTTTTTTTTACTGTCAATAAATCGAAAATAAATAATGGCACTAGTTGTCTATTTTAAACTTTCGTTATATAAGCTTAAACTAGTACAGAGCCCGTGCGATGCACGGGGTGCACAATTTTAAGGTCATTTATCCAGTCTTATGATTATACAAATGAATAAAAAAAAATGTACGGGATATATATAGTACTTGATCTGTAATAGACCAAAATGTGAATAAGGGTGATGCACGGGGTGCACAATTTTAAGTTCATTTATTAGTACAGAGCCCGTGTGATGCACGTGGTGCACAATTTTCTAGTATGTGTAACAAAAATACATACGTATGCACGGGACAGAAACACTAAATGAGTCATTTCCACAGAGCTTGCCCGTTAAGTAGCTCCTGAACACGGGTGCACAATTTGTAGTACGTACCATAAAATCAGAACAGATTTTCATACAATTAGGTAATAAATAAAACCTTTTTTTATTTTAGTAAATATTTTACGTACTTTGTTTTTTTACTTATCGAATGTTGTGGAATTTTTTTTGTTAAACCGATTTATGGAATATAATACAAATACAATTAGAGGATTGAACAAAATCAGAACAAATTTTCATACAATTAGATAATAAAAAGGAATTAGATAAGAAAAAAAAAGAATTAGATAAATAATTTTGAATCTGATTTTTTTTTAGTATAGATAGACTTTACGTACAAATTTTGACTTCACTGATTATATGAGATTTGTTTTGACAAAATCGATGTTAATATGGAATAAGACAAATAAATAAAGTCTTTTTATTTTAGTAAAGATTTTACGTCTTTTTTTTTTAACTTGTCAGATGTTATGGGATTTTTTTTTCTTACTGATTTTATGGGATATAAGACAAATAAATAAAATAATTAAATAAAATTCTGGATAGAAATAACAATGCATTAATTACGTTGACTTTTCAATCTACTAAATTTGATAAAAAGGATACCTTATATAATAAGTATAGATATACAAATAAATAACATGCCAAAATTTTAAAGAATAATTAATGTATTTTAATTTATTATATAGTCATCAGTAAAATCATTTAATGATGTGTCATTATCTCTTAAATGATAAATAAAATATTAATTTAAAAAAATATTTGTTTTTTATATACTCAAATAAAAATTAAAAAATACTATCGACAAATATGAATTATAATATATATCAGTAAAATCATTGCAGAAGTTAATAAAATTATTTAAGGAAAAAAATCTTTTTAATCATATTTGAATAGAAAATGTATATATCAAGCAATTAATGCATATAATAAAAAATTTCCAAATAATGTATGCATTAAATGTGAGTTGACTTTTCTTGCTACTATTTTTGGTAAATATGTTGGCTTTTAATATAAGTATAGATTCCTCCACATTTTAGCTTTAGAATTAACTAGTACAATACCCGTGTATTACACGGGTGCTTGTTAAAAAATTATTCTTAAATTTTAAAATTAATGAGAAAATTATATTAAATTTAGTTTACTTTTTTACAAAAAAAAAAAAAAATATATATATATTACTATATATTTTAGAATGATATGTGTTACTTATGACTTACATGTGTTATATTATATTAGTTTTTATAACTTATATCATATAACTACTTGAAATATAAATATATTAGTTGATAAATAATTTTATTTTTCTAATTAATATTGAAACGTATAATATTGAAATGTAGTACGAACGTGGATAAACAACGTAAATAGCGGAAGCAATAAACCGAAGATTTTAAAACTTTTCAGGAAAGCGTCCCACTTCCCCTCAGAGCTCTTTCATTGATAAACCGTTCACACTTGTATAGTTTGGACTTACACGACTCGAACTCCCTTCTAGTCTAGCCACAACTACACACAATCCTATCAGCTACTTCTCCGGCCACGTCCCGTGGACTTTACACACTCGAATCCCTCGAGCAAAACCCAGTACTTAATCCCTAAGCACTAAAATAAATTGTTTGTAAAAGAAAAGAAACAAAACGAGTTCAGTTCTTCAGCAATGTAAGAACGCTGAAAAATTGGACCGAATAAAATAAAAATAATAGAAACTCTCAAACACAATTGAAGCTGATGAATGATGAACTTGATTTGCAGCAACTCTCTTGTCTTCAATTGATTGCTTGAGTAGGCTTATATACAACCTCCTTAAGGTAAGGAGTCTTCACAGTTCTTCCTTTACCTTTTAGGAGTTAATTTCCTTCTCAATTGATTCCTTTCTGATTTGGACGAAATCCTTCATGTAAGGTAAGTTTCTTTGATGTGGAATTCGTGCATGTGATTTGGAGATCTTCAGAATTGAACTTCTAACGGAAATCTTGCCTTCCAGAATATGGTAAGAACATGACTTTCCAAAAATAGCCGATCTTCCAAATCTTCAAAGATCTTGTGGTGAATCTTTCCAAATCCTCCTTAGATCTTCTCATGAACGTCCAGAACTCTTCTTGTATAAAAAGCTCATCCTTTCATAGTCCTTGACACATATTCCTTGTCCTACAAGAAAAAGAGAACTAATTATGGCATGTGGCATATATGGTAAGTAAATATATAGGATATATATTATGTAATCCTTCTCCTAAAGGATTAGGATTCCATAATACATACTACAATAAATATATACCATATATTATTAATAATAAATATTAGGAACTTAATTAAATCACAAGTAAATAAATAGAAAAACTTCCCTTTAATTTATTTTGCTTGCTTAACAAGAAATCTTCTAGAAACACTTAGGTTTGTCGGACATGATGCCAAACCAATGTTCTTACAATCTCCCCCTTTGGCATTCAATTCGAAAACAGTGTTTCTTGAAGATAACCTACAAAATAAACTCAAAACAGCAAAGCAATTATCTATGTTCGAACATCAGGAAGTAAACTACTCAAACACCTGCAGTGTAAGAACATCAGAACAGTTCCTATCAAAATAACTATGAGGACTGTGATCAGAGCAATCAAAAGACATCAAACTATCAGAACCTAAGTCAAATAGAGTGACCAATGCATCTCCCCCTGTCAGAATAGACAAAACAATCAAACAGCAAAACATACATGTTCTTACATCCTGTAGAACCATGTCAAAAAAGGCAACCACAAATAATCAGAAGCAAACAACTAGAATATAATCCCGAACATCTTCAGAAACATCCTATATTCTCCACCTTTTTAGACTGAAATGCCAAAGACAAATCTCCCCTTGAGTAAGAACATCAAGTGAGAAAAAATATAGATGACCGAAGACAAAAGACGTTGCTTGAACTGATCTCTAATCGTTGGTATGTTGTCCATCTCTTCTCTAGGCCTTTGCCATCATCCAAAGTGTTTCAGAAGCACATTAGAAAATGATGCAGGAACACAAATGGTTAAACGAATAATTCATAGAGAAAGAGAATGAAAATGGGGTTCTCAGGTTCTGAAAATGAAGATATATAGTGAGGACATAATGAATGAAAAATGTCAGGATGTAATGGGTAAAGTTTAAAAAATCAGGGGAAAGAATGGATACTATGCGGTAAGAACATTCCCATCAAAACTGAACACACAAACCCATTAACACACTAACACATGTGTCCAACTAATTCAAAATTAGGAAGAATAAGATTTTACCATCCAAAAATAAATTCCATCACAATTTTTTAATGCCCAAGTAATTCAATCAAAGAAGGAAATCTTATGCAATATATGCTTAGAATGAAAAATAAAATAAAATCGCATGCAAATTCACTAGAACCAATAAAATTCTTTCCTTATCCTCTTAAGTAAGATTGATGAAAAGCAATCAAGGACCAACTTTGTGATACAAACACACCAAGAAACATACTAGAAGCGGATATATGTATATACACAGCGTAGTGCGAACCACAACTTCTTTTTTTTTTTTTTTTGCAAGAACACATGCCGTATTATTCATCGTGCATTTCACTTAGTAACAATCACTGCCATAGTGAAAGTCAACCCCACTACTTTGCACAACGATTTTAAGCAAGGATCCCACGTTTTTTTTTTTAGCACTACGGTTTTTATGATAGTGACCACCTTATATCCCCAAGTAAAAACACTACACAAAAATGTGCAATGGGTATCACTAGCTTACGCCCTTCTCAACATTTTCTGTCCCAGATGCTCTTTTCACAGTCGATCCCGCATTGGGAAACAAACCATGTGCTAGCTATCGCTCTCGATCATTTATGAGAAGGCAGCTCTTTTTG